AAAAAAAAAAAAAAATGTAATGATCGAACTCGATTTAATATCATATATATAATTTAATATATTAACAAATTGTAGTTAAAATTATGGGAGCAAGGGAACAAATGTATAAATAATTTTGGTGGATATGATAAATAGTGCGACTTTTGAATTAAAACATAAGTTCATATATGATAGGGATATTAGAATCGACTCGGCCAACCGAAGTCGACCCTCGGCTCGACTTAGGCCAAGCTATAAAGTCTCGGGTCGAGCGGCCCAAGGGTCGGTTACCAAATCACGGGTCGAACGGTCCAAGGGTCAACCGTTGGCTCGGTTGACCCTTGGACCGACCGAGCAAAAATGACCGAATATTGGCCATTCGTGTCGATGGGTCGAGCGTCGATTAAGTTACGCCCCATCAACATATGCTCAGAGATTGATGGTCCCAAAAGGAAGTCCGTACAGTTGAACACTATGTATAAGGTTGATTCAACAAGAGGAAGGTAATACACGTTGAATACACTCATTATTCTTCTACACCGAGATATTGACTTAAGTGTCGGAGGGTCTTGCGCCGGAGCAATTCCGGTGCTTTTGCAGGTACCGGCAAACTCGTGTGCTTGGACCGAACCGAACTAGCTAATCTGCGATTCAAATTGGAGAGAACTCTTTGAAAACCGAAGTCATTTATCTCGGACCATATCAATATCTGAATGAGTAAATTACTAGAATTCGAGACAACTTTGCTTATGAGACATTCCCTTACCCAGGGGAAGGTGTGTTAGTTATTTGATTAAATTTCAAAAGTCAACCATGTCTAATGAAATTGGCCTCATTATTACATTTTAAAATTTTAAATCTATAGACCATAGAATCTATAATTAGTTTAACTAAATCTTAGATAATTGTAATTCATTAATTGAATAGTTTATTCGGTGCTTATAGGTTTTAGGTCCTTTAGGACTTTAATTGTAATTCATTTAATATGTGATCCAACCATAAAAAGAACATTGCTTCATAATTGGTTTTTATCTGTCATAAAATGGATAATCCCATTGTTTTGGGGTCTCAATTTTTGTATTTTACTGTGGAATTGGGTTTGTTGACTTTTTGAGTAATTGTATAATATATTTTTTTATATGTTTTCAGATTTTTTTTTATATTAATTTAAATGGCCTTTATAGTGATACGTGTAAATAATCAGTTCATAATAAAGCAAAGAAGTGTGTGTGTGTGTGTGTGTGTGAAAAATGGATCACATATATTCACTTGAGAATGAGAACCAACATTTGCAAAAAGGGAATGAGGGAATAGAATTTATCTGAGGCATCTTGATTGTTCGATTCTTTATTATTTTTTTCTTTTTCTTTATTGGTTAGAAATTAATTAAAAAAAAAAACTTTGCAACATATATTTAACTTTTGATAAATACAACTTGAAATTAAGTCTTTCAAATTTAAAAAACATTAACATTTCTTAAAAAAAAAAAAGGTTACAACATTCCAAATAGAAATACATGTGTATATGTTACCATAACTCATGTTCCAAAAAAAAAAAAGAGTTTGTATCATCCAATACTAGTACAACACCCGTGTATTACACGGGTAATTGTTAAAAAATTATTCTTAAATTTTAAAATTAATGAGAAAACTATATTAAATTTAGTTTACTTTTTTACAAAAAATTAATGATGGGTTTCTTCTCAGATCTGGAACGGTCTAATGAGAAACGTCCGGATCTGG